TGTTATGTTAGTTAAAAAACTGATTGATCTATGAAAATAAGCCATCTAGTGACGACAATAATTAATTCGGTTCATCATCATCATCAACTGCCTATAAGTGCCCACTGCTAACCACAGAGGTCTCTTCTCAAAGATTTGAGCATTAATCACCACGCTTACTCAATGCGAGTTCGCGATTTCAAGCTTATAATTAGAAATTATATATAAGTCCAGGTTTCTTCACGATGTTTTCTTTCACCGTTTGTCAGTGGTGTCTAGATAATCTTAGAAAGTACATATAACTCGTAAAAAGTCACATTGGTATTTGCCGTTGATAGGTTTCGAACCAGCCCTCTCATGCATGAGAAGTAGGTGTCTTAAACCTCCAGGCCACCACGACATGTGTAACAAATGCTTTTCTAAAAACAGCTTCAAAATTGGTTTAGTCAATCGCAAGATGTTTGCGGACATACGTACATATATAAGGTCTAACAAAAATAGTGCACAATATTTTAACAGGTGATATAGTACATGATAAGGATTATGTTTACCTAAAAAAAAATGTAAACAACAACATGTTTAATTAAATTTAGCATCACATTTGCAAAATTGTTGTTGTGCTTTTACGCATAACGCCAGCCGTATGGATGCGCGCGGACGTTTATCTTACGGGTCAACGACCGAGCTTTTCGAATAGGTACATATTGCAGGACGGCATAAAAAGCAACGAAAATAATAAATGAATAATTGAATTATTAAAAATAATTGATAAGTTTTTATAAAATATTTTCATAAAAAAATGATGTTTATCACATACTAATTGACCTACTAAAATATTGTGCACTATTTTTGTTACACCTTATATAGTATGTGGCACGGACTTAAACAATAAATGAACTATAATGTAGTATTATTACACAGAAGTATAACACGACCAAAGATTTAGACGAAAACCTTAAATTAAAAAAGTGAAATTTTCAAACAAAACAAATAATAAAATAGATTTAAGAAAGTATAACACTCTGTGTAACAACGTACCTTGACCTCAGAAGAGCGGCAACGTCGCATACGTTATGGAAGGCACGGGTGACGCGGCTTGGTAGTAACACTGCAGTGACGGGGCTCATGCTCATTCACTCTTTGAACTCGTGAACCATTGGACGATAACGGAACGTACGCCCTGCTTGCCTAAGACTGCAGGTTGGGTTATTGCGGAAATAGGCTAAAACCCTTTGTTCCAAGATCGATGAAGTTTGCCGACCAGCAAAGCTCCATCATGGGTATTGGGCACTATGGGCAGATTTTCTCCAAGCCTTTGTACAAACATCAGTCGAACAGTGACGAGATCCGCCGTACCTCCCCCGATAAGTTCGCAGAGCCGACGCTAACGATGACATTCACCATGTAATAATATCGCGGCATTTCGGCACAACACACAGACACACGTAAACACACAATTAAAAGTTAAATAAATAAAATAAAATACACAGTTAACAAAAGTACAAATGTCAGTGTCCGGTTCACAGTAAAGAAAACTAGGTAATAATTAAAAAAACTAAGAACTAAAATAATAATTAATTACAAAAAACAACAACAATCGTTTAGCACAACGCGCGCGTAACCCGTCGGAAATTAGCGAAAAGCACACACACTATCCCGGAAGTCTAGCAGTGAACTGATGAACAAATTTTATTTTCTAACTCATTCGATCACAAACGCGGCGTACTGAAAGGGAAACTACCCCTTTCACGATGCCGCCGCAAGCGGCGGTATCTTTGACAAAAGCCGTCAAAAGAAACCGACCGCTGGTGCGGCTATTACATACACGGCACTGCTGATGTACTTACACCTATTTATTAGTGGTACGGTAACTTCAACTTTATCGTATTGACATAAAGTCGAAAATCCAATTAATAAATTTGTCAGATGTGTACGTTGATCTGCTGGCCACTGTACCTATTAGTTTTGTTTTCCGATGTAGGTACTTAATAGGTATCTTTGAAGAATAAATTAAATTATTAAATTAATATTTGATAACGGTTAACTACCCGACATTTGGTTGCAATAATGTTATGAACAAGGGTATTACAACTGTGACTACCTACCTACTTCATTATTTACTGACAAGTGCGTGTCAACGAGACGATATTCGCATCTTCTCTTTCTTACATGTTATAATCGGCTTAGAAATACGTACGGTAAATAAATACGTACTTTCGTATTTTTCGACGAATTTCTTAACTTATAAATTTTTGATTCATAATTTGGTTTTTGAAAAAGTGCCATCTATGGAAAAAAATCCGAACTACTACAACATTCTTTGTGATATCGATATTTGTACAATTTCCGTGTCAACTAGACGATATTGGCAGAAAGAGATTCTTAAATGTGGTAATCGACTTAGAAAGGTAAATAAATACGTAATTTCACTCATTAATTCGATACAAATGTCAGACTCCTTAATAAATTCGTAATTTTAATAAATTTTGATTCATAATTTGAAGAAATTGTAATAGTGCCATCTATGGAGAAATTGCCGAACTACTACAAAATGCCAAACACTCTTTGTGAAATCGATATTTGCACAATTTCACTGTTGGTTTCACTGCCACCAGCGCCGCCACCCAACCATTGTGTAAGCGTGGTTCGTGTAGGAACTACTACTTCATTGCAAACAAAACAATTTATACCTACTTGAGCTTTACGCGGAATTTTGTTTTGATTGGTTTTCTGAGTGCAAGTAAATAAATTGTAATTGTAACTGTAAATGAATTATGGAAAATTGCAACAGTAAGATCAGTGATGTGTGTTTAAATGAATTAAACAAGTGAGAGATATCCGTGTTGTCGTTTAAAGATTTTTTTAAGGCGTAAACTAAACGTGTGTTAGCCCGGATTAGGCGTAACTGAAAAAGGTAATTTTATTCGTTCTTTTCATAATAAAAGGTATTGTAACTAGTCGTAAGCGGCTAGAAGTTTGTGTAGGTACACAAAAAGTTTATGAAACGTGTTTTCTAGTTTTCAAATCAAGAGCCGAATGGAATTGAGGTGTTTTTTTTTTCAATCAAACTCGTGAATCGACATCTTCATTGAATATGGCAAATAAATAGTTTAACACAGACGGCGAGTACCTACAAGAACAACAACCATTTTATCTTGGTCTCGTTTTGTATGATCTTTCTTCATATTCAACGATCAGTTTATACTGGTTTAGCATAGCTTAATGTGCGTACCTACAGTGTAAATTAAAGATTCATCGCGATTATTTCTTTTAAAATGTGGATTAGTGGACGGTGCAGTGACATACTTATCATATTATTTTAGGTCTGGTTAGGATTATACCAATTCTTTTCTCATTTTGAAAACCGAAACAGGAAAAGTGGCAACGTCGCGCATTGGAGTGCATTGACCTGCGTCAATGAACTTAAAGAGTGTTTACGTTTTCTCAAAGAGAAAAATGCACTTTTTGGCTTAACTACTGGGCCGATTTTGCTAATTTTTTGTACATTGTCAGTATAGACGATAACAAGTATGTTGCATAAATAAATGTATAAGAGTTTTCTACATACGGTATATATACAAGGTGTAGTTTTAAACCCATGTCATTTCTCGGGGGCATGTCACAGAAGTCATAAAGGTTCAATGTAAAAGAAGGTTTCGGGCCAATAGTTAAAAATACGGCTATATAGTAAATCGTTTAAGTTCGACAGTATTTCAGAATAAGCGACAGCAATGTTTCTTATTGGAGTTTTATGGAATTAGGAATAATATCAATTACGTGTTTGAGTTTTTGTGTGTTAAGCTGCGTTACAAAACTAGTTACAAGATGGCGGCATGTAGTTCGCACTTACGGATTTCCGTAATTTATAGAAAATTAAAAAGTACAATTTTTTTTATTGATTTTGACTTAGAATCGATAGCCGAGTTACCTCCTAGAAAATGACGCGGCTCTAAAACAACACTTTGTATATAACTCCGATCGAGCCGGCCCATTCATGCCGAAGCATGGCTCTCCCACACTCAAAGAATGCTGAATAAAATATTTTATAAGTAAATTTCCTCTGCAGGATCGAGGTGGCTGGTCACAGTGGAGTGAATGGTCACTATGCTCACGTACATGTGATGGAGGCGTGTCCAGGCAGCTTCGAACTTGTTCATCACCAGCCGGCTGCAGGGGCGAGCCAGTGCGGTACAAGATCTGTAATATGCAGGTGAGACTCTATTGTGTTTGTCATAAGATTCATTATTGGGTGTAAGTTATTGCATCAGATGACACTAGGTGTAACTTTAATAACAGTCTAAACCTGTGATTTTCGGCTGATTATAATGACTATGGTACCTACTCATGTGTATACAAAATTCGATAGCCTTATATTTTAAAAAAGTTGCCTCGCACTAGGATTTTGTCCTGTGTCGTGGGTGCGTTTACAAACATACAAGTTCGCATACAAGTGACACCCACACCCGGAACTATAATCAAGAAAAAACAACACAAAGAGTTGTTCCGTTCGGGAATTTGCGCGTTGCATGGCAGCCATTTGCCCAGCCACTGCGCTAACTGTGCTGTCTTTCACGGTTCAGCTTTGACGTCTTTCTTCAGCTATAGTAGTCTTCAAAAATGAACTATTAATTAAGCCATAGGAATTCAATTTTATTCTCTGAAATCTTTCAAGTTTTTTTTAATGGCATAAGCCGGTAAACGAGCAGACGGATCCCCTGATGGTAAGCAATCGGCGTCGTCCATTGACACCTGGAACACCAGATGCATTACAAGTGCGTTACCGGCCTTTTGGGGAGTAGGAGAATTGTTGGGGATTCGGGGATTGGGGAGATTGGGAAAGGGGGAGGGGTAATGGAGCCTCCGGTAACTTCACTCACACGACGAAACACAACGCAAGCGTTGCTTCACGTCTGTTTTTGTGAGGCCGTGGTATCACTCCGGTCGAGCCGGCCTATTGGTGCCGAAGCATGGCTCTCCCACACTTTTTAATCGACAAAGGAATACAATACAAACATGGAATATCCACAAACACATTACTGCATATCGCCACTCGCAATCAAAGTGTCGCACAGTACTTCTAATAATAGTACTGCAGGTCAACTTACACGAATCTGTCAATATTTTTCATTGAAGTCTCGACTTTATATCGGAACAGTAAAGTTGAAAACAGGAATTTGTTAAGGATAGCTTGACCTGCGGTGTATCGTACACTGTCGGCCGAAATAAATAGGACGTTAACATTATGAAAGTGTTTAGTTTGGCCATTCCGGTTGGGGGCGATTAAATAATAAGTGATTGTGAGGGAATTAAGGGCTTATTCAGTGTGGATTTTAGGGTGATTTTTCGGTGAATTGTTTTACTGCCTATAGTGAATTATGAGATTTTGATTTAGTATGTCAAGACATTTTGACTAGATGGTTAGACAAATATTCACTAATGCGTATGCTGTCAAGGGGTCTCGTGTTCGATTCCTATGTCAGACGCGAATTTATTATTTTAGTTTTTTCCATAATGACAGGAAGTTTGTAATTAAATGTGCATGACTATAAGATCACCCATACCACAAAGGACTCATAACAAAATTCACCCCCAAAATTCAAGAATAGTGACATTATATTATTATACCTACATATAGAGGTAAATGTGTTATTTGTACTAGAACACATAACTACATATTTATGTCATACTAGCTTCTGCACGCGGCTTCGTCCACGTTCCTGTGAAATAAAAAGTACTATATGAGTTATTCCAGACCATAATCTATCCCTGTTCCAAATTTCATCCCTATCCCTTCAGCCGTTTTGACATGATTAAATAACACACACACACACACACACACACACACACACACATACACACACACACATACACACACACACACACACACAAACTATCGCATTTAAAATAAATCTTTTCAATTCCAAAAATGCCCTATAAAAGCATTAACAACCATTACATCAAAAAAGAAACAATAAATAAAAAAAAACAATGTAATTACTCCAATAGCTTTGCGTGATAAAACTCATTACTTATTTGTTAGCTACAATTAATAGAATAGTAATTAGTTCTTTTACTGAAAATCTAGTACTAATGTGGTCTATTGTAGTGACATTAGGGGGAACAAAGGTAATTATCTTTATTAGGATTATTTTATCCTCTATTTTGGTTTGTGGAGCGGAACTATACAATAATCTATACTAATATTATAAAGCTGAAGACTTTATTTTGTTTGTTTGAACGCGCTAATCTCCGAAACTGCTGGTCCGATTTGAAAAATTCTTTCTGTATTGGATAGCCCATTTATCGAGGAAGGCTATAGGCTATAAAATATCACGCTATGATTAATAGGCGCCGAGCAGATCGAGTGAAACCGCGGGGAAGTAGCTAGTTATTTTATAAACTACGTTTAAAAACACCGAATTCAACCCTGTTTTGAAGTTGGTTAATTAAAATAATAACCATTAGTGGAGTTACATCGTAACGTGGCATTAAGTGCCGTAAAGTACACCTCTGCCTACCCCTTCGGAAATAATAGGCGTGAAGTTATGTTATGTTATGTTACTTTTCTGAAAACCACATCAAAATAGGTTCAGCCAATTGTGAGATAATCACGCACAAACGTACATACTTACTTCTCTTTTTTTAAAGTCGGTTAAAAATAAATAATAAATATGTAGTTTATGCCAGCCGAGTGATTATTTTAGTAGTATGACTGTTTAACGCAGGTCATGACGTAACATCCACTTTTCACTATTTATGTTATGAGTCCCATGTAATAGGGGGTGAGCCTATTGTCATAATTATGTATATCGGGCACAATTGCAGACTCCGTCTTAATACTGAGCATTATTAAAAAACCCAGTAATATTTTGCCCGATCCGAGAATCGAACCCGAGACCCCTTGTCCGGCAGTCGTACTTGCGACTTTAGGGAACAGAGAGTGTAGTTCCCTAAGATCGGAAAAGGAGGATCCTCCGACCAGGCGAGGTGATCGTGTCTGGCGGGCTTTCTGCCCAACAGTTGTTCGTGGGGATTTTCTATCCGTGTTAATTTGCATGTAAACTTTGCATGTGCGATGTAGGATTTTTGTGACGTCATCCATTGACATGTGACATGTGTCGCCACACGACCATAGGGCTAACGAGGCAGTCAAAAAAATAAAAGTAAAATAAATTTCAGTTTTAACATAAAGACTTATATTTCTAAGTAAAATATATTTATTATTCTTTGAAGATAGAATCCCTCTGACCACGGCTCTCGTATAAATCACAGAGTCTAGTGTGCTTAAAAAATTTACAGAAACAATTGTATGTCCAACACATTGTCCCCTAGTGTACTATGATGGCGATACATTGCAGCTACAGTCTCGCCTCTTTAATACATTTGCGTACCGTTGAAATAAATAAAGTACTGTCATAGTTGACTGCCTCGTTGCCCGAATGGTTGCTAGTGCGACGGACGGGGAAGATGTCTCGGGTTCGATTCCCGGGTCGGACAAAGTATTATTGGGTTTTTTAAAAAAAAATCTCAGTAGTAGCACGAAGTCTTTAATTGTGCTCGGTATATGGCAATAGGCTCACCCCCTATTACATGGGACTCATAAAATAAATAGTGAAAAGTGGGTGTTACATTGTACTGTGGAATAATGTGCACCTCTGCCTACTTCTTCGGAGATAAAAGGCGTGATGTTATGTTAATATTATGTATGTTATTTATCACCACACTTACATCTATCATAACAGGTTTAACCTAATGTGACAGAGAAGCTACTTACATTAAACAAAACATGTAAACAAAGTTAATAATAGCAATATACTTAGACAAAATATACATACAAGCAATAATTAATAAAAATAATAAGAAAACTACAATACTAAATTATCCTAATAACATTAATAACATATCACACAACAATATATAAAACAAAAAAAAATTAATACTTGGAACGACCAGGGAATCGAACCCAGCTCAGCAGTGACATTTACAGTCACTCGACCAACATCATCAATCACATCAACCATAAGACATTCACTGCTGAACATAGGCTTCCCCCAACGACCTCCAGACAAACAGGTCGAAATCGACTAATATGCTTTTGAAAATTGAACTATTTAAATCATGATTATTCTTCTAAATATAAGTATTTCACTAATACAGCAACGTTGCCAATTCATCAAAAACAAATGACACGTCAATGACGTCAGACCGAAAATGACAAGGCAAGACATATCGCATTCTCTTTCTAAATGCAACTGTATTCCGTCTACAACGTTGCCAGCAGAAAAACAAATGACACACCAATGACGTCAGACCCAAAATGACAAGGATACATATATAATTATATTGATTTCTCTTTCTAAATTCGCAACAAAATAAAAAACAATTGACATGTCAATGACGTCAGACACGAAATGATAAGGATAGCAACAGAATCGTACTGGGTCCTCTTTCTATATACGCAACTAAGATAGAGAGAGATAGATGGCGCTGTGCTGTCACGTAAACATTAAGCTCCGTACATAATGTTAAAAAAAATAATAAACTCATTAATTTCCTTAAAATAACATGTTCAATCTTGTGTAAATAGCATAAATTACCTGAGATATTGTTATCTTCTTGCGAACTTCGCCCTGGACAAAGTTATTTAGTAATTTCATGTGAACAGTTATAAGTGATTAAAAGTGATTAAAAACAATTAATTAAGTGATATTGGTACTGTTTTATACATACGCATACTATAGTTATTATCAAACAATAAGTGAATGTGTAAAATCAACAAAAAAAGTGCAAAAACTAAAAACCGTTGAAATTTAAATATCTAACAAGTACTGCTATAATAACATTCGAATGAAACAATAAACTATACTTCAATTTCGTCACTATCATTAATGTATCCAATAGCCGATGCAACATTACGAGGAATGACAATTATCTGACACCCGGATCGATCCCCGCTAAATGTAAACTCTTTTTGTGAATTTATAGTTTGGTTTATCCAACTAAAAATTAAAACTACGATGAATTTCTTAAATAACATTACGTTACGACGAAACCGAACATTTTCGGACCCAAATAAAAGTAACGTGAGCGACGTTTCTACACATACCCTCCATGATGAAAGTGTATCAAGTATGCCTGACTTGTCAAATGATGAGTCACAAAATGAACTAATACATAAATTAAAACAACAAATTAATAAACTAGAATCTG